TTTGTGTCGCAAGTTCAGTGACGCAGGTAGTGACGATTCTCTCCGGCCAATCAGTGATCAGCAGAGTTTACACGTCACGTTTTGGTAACGGTACGGTTCACTTGGAACCTCAACCGAGGTGGTACTGAAAAAAGTACCAGGTACTGTACCCAGTGGAAAACCCCCCAAAAGTGAACCGTACCGAACTGTACCGTGCCGTACCATGCAGTGGAAAAGCGCCATATGATCGGTTTTACCCCTACAAGCTAGTGAACAACACAAATCCAGGAAGGAATTTTATATCACTGTTCAAGATAGCCCATCGGGCAGGGCGGTGATGCATTTCGGTAGTCCGAATGGAAAACACAATAGCCCCGGGACGTCGGGCTAGCGATTTAGCGATCCCTGGCACCCAAATAATCCGTTAGTAATCAGATTGATAGGTCAATCAGACTGAAAAGCCTTCATGTAAACACCTTAATCGACTGCGCATGTGCAATGATGCAGAAATAGTGTAATTACATATGACGCGTGGAAAAATTAGTTTCCTGTTATTATAAAACTCATTACATTCAGCGTCTGTGAAGTGGAGCAGGACAACCTCCCACCAGTCTTTGTTTTGGATTCTCATCCATAGATGACTGGTTTTGAGTGTGAGAGGGGCATTTTAATGGCCTGTCAGACCCGTCTGATGGCCTGAGGCAAGCGCTGGGCCAATCGTGGGCCAGGGCATCTTGCTGCTTCAAAAAATAAAAAGTCCACCGCTGCCATCCTGAAGACAGACCAGATAGTTTGAACCATTTGGGGATGTAGTCTCCATTCTCCTGGAGCTACATTGCACCTGGACAATCTGTTCCCTGGTTCAGTCTGCCCGGCACATGAACTGCTCTCTCAGTGAGAGGAGTTTGCCCTGTGCCCATAAAAGGAGGCATCGAGCCATCCTGTGGAGGGAGCGCGACCTGAAACCGCTTTGGCGATTTATAAAGGCATTATGTTGTCCGAATGGACCAGGACATAGTGCCCCTTTAAGGCCAGCAGGAAGGTTTTTAGGACTAGAAAAAACGTCATTGTCTTGAGGCAGTTGATGTGCAAGCATTGCTCCAGGTTTGACCAGGAGCCGAACGTTGGTATGCCCTCGTACAGAGCTCCCCAACCTGAGTTGGAGGCATCTGTCGTGATTACCTTCCTTCTGGAGGTCAGTCCCAATGGGACGCCAGATTGAAACAGGCGAGGGGTTTTCCAAGGGGCTTTTCATTTCAAAGCTCTGATATAGCGGTGGGTTACCTTGATTAAATTGTCCCAGGCGCCAAGCATGGGATGGGACATCGGCTTTGAGCCAATACTGGAGGGGCCGCATGTGAAGCAGGCCCAGAGGAATCACAGAGGAAGCGGCTGACATGAGGCCGAGCATCCTCAGAAAAGCCCTGAGGGGACGTGAAGTCTGAATGACGTTGCTAGCTGCTGAATTATCAGGGAGCGTTCCGGCACAATCCATGCCTGCATCTGGGCAGAATCGATAACTGTCCCCAGAGAGACTACTTGCTGGCTGGGAGACAGAGAGCTCTTGGCTAAATTTATTTTTAGCCCAAGCCGCTCCAGGTGGCTGAGAAGCAGCGACCCGTGAGCGATGAGTTCCTGTTCCGATCTGGCTAAGACCAGCCAGACGTCTAGGAAATTCATAATGCAGATTCCCATCTGTCTCAGAGGGGGAAGAGCCTCGTCTATGCACTTCGTAAAGTAAGATATGAAAGTAAGCATCTTTCAGATCCACTGATAAAAAAACAGTCCCTGGGGCTATTTGCATGAGGATTTGCTTCTAAGTTAGCATCTTGAACGGACGATTCATAAGCGCACGGTTTTTCTTGGGAACGAGGAGTAGCGGCTGTAAAGCCTGACTCGCTGTTCGCTAGAGGAACTGTCTCCGCGGCCCCTTTTGCAAGCAGAGTTTGCACTTCAGACCGGAGAATGTGTGAGCATTGTTGTCCTGTACCAAAGTTTGAATAATGCCTCTGAAGCGAGGTGCCCTGTGAGCGAACTGGAGTGAGTAACCTCAGTCTGCTTAGGCAGGGAATGGCGCATGACCTGCGAGTGATCTTCGTCACTGAAGGAGAAAAATTCTGACGAAATGGTGCTCACAGCAGAGTTGAAGCGCCATTGGATTGTGCAGCTACACGAACGTGAACAAATCAGGCTTCAGTATCAGAGTAAAAAGGATTTTCCCCATAAGCATGTCAACGCAACAGGAGAGACCGCTTGAAAGGGAACATATAAAGCAGTGAGGGCTTAACAAAAGAGCTGAGGTACAGAAATGAAACAGAGGAAAGAATGAAAAGCACGAGCTTGATTTATCACAAGAGGCAGAATGTTTTAAGTTTTGCTCTTTTATGGCAGGGTTAGTGCTCTGATGTCCCTAAAGATCTTTATGTAAGATATTTAGTATCATCAGTGTGTTTTAGCGATAAGCTAATCTGACAGAGGGAAGGCTGAGACATATGTTCCAAAGTTTTCTCATGTTAAAGAGTGAAGGTTGTCTTTTCTTGACATTTTTTTCAATGGTGTACTTCAGACCTACTTTTTCTTTTTACTGTTTAATGGTGTTTCTAGGTCTGAAGTCTTCAGGGGGTAGTGCACATATTGCAAAGCTTTTACGGGCTGTTCCAAAACTTTCCACAGACCCCTGTGGTGTAGGACGCTGAAACTGTGACAGATAAACATTGTGTTTAATTATTAATCCTCGTAAAACTGAATTATAATGTTTTTTTATGGTATTTCTTTTCACTTTAACCTGAAAAGTCACCTATAAAATTCAAAGTGTTTTATGATTGCAGTATGTAAAGTATTATGGGATATCTGTACAGTTGTGCTATATTAACAGCTGGTTTGTTTGTAGATTCCATTAATTTGCAGTTGTGATGTTTTACATCCAAAAACGAGACAGACTGAGAGCAGAATAAGCTCAGATAAGCACAGAGGACGGGCCACATCTGTAGTCAAATCTCTGGGATATCATCATTTTTTGAAAATGTAATATCACAAATGAGATCTTTTCGATATTTTAGTTATTTTTCCTATTTTAATTAGTACTTTTGTCTCGTTTATCTCAGATTTCTCAGAAGTCTCACATTTGTCTCTTCTAGATACCATGTCTGTGATCAATAGCAAGAGATTTAAATATGAACATTTCTTATTACATTCTTACAAAGATAAAAAATGTTCTGAGCTATCTTATCCACATTTTGTATTAATTTTATAGCTCTATAGTCTTTTTTTAGGAACACCCACTGGAAGTACTCGACTTGAAATCTGCCATCTTTGCTCATGAGACCACAGATCTATATCTGAGCCATAAATTCCATGTGACTAATTTGCCCTTCAAGTCAAGTCAAATATTGTAAGTTCAGAACACATGAATGATTAAACAAAACCATATTGGATAACTATTTAAACATTGCAGTAAAAGTTATCTTTAATGTAGATTATATCAATTATCTATAATCTATATATAGTGTCAGTGAGCAGTTATCAACTAGTGAATTATAATTATTGTGTTTTGAGTTTTTCAAAAGATGTGATGTACAAAACACCTGAAGTAAAGTTACATACTCATCATTCATGGTTTACTTCATGTTTCACAAACACGTTTGATACCATGTGAAAATAAATAATAGAAATTAATCATTTTGAATCATTTTGAATTCAGTTGTAGTTATTTTTGGGTGTATTGTTCACAATAAACAATATTCCTTTGTTTTGTTTAGGCTACTTTTGTGTTATTTTTTTACTTGAATGTGTGACATGACATGTACCTATGAGTTGGGTATTATTGCGACAAGTTTCCCTGATGCACTTGAAGGCAGCATAATAACTCTGGAGCTACAGGTAAAAATGGCATCACAACAATACTGATTGGCTGATGGGGCACTAAGCATAGTCCCTTCAATAGTGACTATGAATAAAAGGTGGCAGACTGGAAAAATATAAATACAATTGTGTGTCATCTTTGTGTATAATATATACTTAGGAGTACAAATTTTGATTCATCAGAATACACAGTAAATTGTGAATGGATTTCAATGAAGAAAGATACCTTTTAGCACCATAATGGTGTCGTTACAGCATCTACCAACAGGGGCAAACATGGTTATGCTAACTAGCCAAACCTTGACCCTTTTGGTTATAACCTTTCCACCATTTTTATTTTTAAATTCTTTTATTGTCAGCCTTTAGTGTTTGTGACTGTGGTGGCAGATTTGCATTGCTTAGAATGAATAAGCAGACCTGTCCATGTTAAGGGCTGTGTTGTTTAGTCATCGCCGACTGTGTCACCACTCATTATATCCAGGTCAGCACAGGCCTCAGTTGGCGTCTGGTCGGGAAGGAGCGTGGAATAGGATTGCTACACGTTCTTATCGGAAGAGGAGGGCTACGTCTGCTGAGGCTCAGCACAGAAATGTCAGGTGTGTCCTTTGCCTCTGTGATGAAGAGACACTGGCTTATGGTTTATTCACTAAAGCTCTGTCAGATGCCCTCATTTTCACTCTCACTCTCTTTCCTATCTGCCTACATCTCCATGTTTTTTTGCTTCTTAAGTGTTACTTTCTTGCTGAAGCTTCACTCTAAAAAAAGATGGTTCTTTAAAGGTTCTTTACATGTAGTAACGGTTCTATTTAGATCCATAGCATCCTGAAGAACCCTTTATGCTGAAATGGTTCTCTGTGTTAAGAGTTTAGGGTTCTTTTTTCCCGCCCTTTTTGTTTTTTAAATCTGTAACTCAAAACTCCTCATTACTGATTTTCTGGAGCTCAGCGATCCAACTACAGACTGTCAACCCACTCTCAACAGGTAAATGATTTCATTCTTTAATTTAAATACAAATTTAACTTTAAAATTGTAACTGGTTTCCAAACAAACATGTTCTTTTCTCTTTTTAGTTTTTTGGTCATATGTAAGTGTGAGCAGCTCTGTTAAGCTGAGGATCCTTCTCCGCTTCTCCACTAAGTAAGTAACAGAGACATTGAATTTATAATACATATTGTTAGAATTTTTTTCTTTAATTTAACACTAGAACTCTCTATTCTATTTCTATTCTATCTGCTTGTTTTCTCTTTAATTATTATAAAAAATAATAATAATTGACCCTCTAACACTAGCTCTGTCTATTCTATTTCTTTTCTATCTACTTTTTATTCTGTTTATTTATTATAAAAAATAAAAATAAAAAACCTTGCTATGTGTACTGTGTTAGACTAACCGGGATTTGTCACAACACTTATATTGTTGCTCTTTTGTCATGTTGATTGCTTCTATTACCCTCATTAAGTCGCTTTGGATAGAAGTGTCTGCTAAATAATTAAATGTAAATGCAATGTAATTATTACTTGGGTTTATGCATAAACATACCTAGTCACAAAAATATTAAAGCTATCCCATGACTTTATATCACTTTTTTTCTTTTAGCATTGTGAAGGGCTCACATTCTGTCCATTTTTGCTTTTGGCCTTCATAGACATTATTGTTTTTACACAAACAAATGGACAACTCTAAACTCAATTGTGTATTTCAGATGCATCACATCCCACAACCTCACCATCTGCAGAGAGAAACTGCCACACCAAAATGATGGACTTAAAGGCATCATATAGGATTGTGAAGATATTTCACTGGAATTTTGTCTTCATCACATCTATTTTTTGTTCTTATTTTGTGTTGTAGTTCATGTATTTATTCATGTTCAATGTCAAGTGTCAACTGTTGTTAAGAGCACTGACATTATTGCTACAATTTCACGTCAATAAAAAGTACCTGATTCACACAATATGTTGAATGAATGAATGAATGAATGATGCATTTATATAGCGCTTTATTGTGTATTGTTGTACACCCAAAGCGCTTTACAATCATGTGGGGGGGTCTCTCCTCAACAACCACCAGTGTGCAGCATCCACTTGGATGATGCGACGGCAGCCACAGGACAACGGCGCCAGTGCGCTCACCACACACCAGCTACAGGTGGAGAGGAGAGAGAGTCATAGAGCCAATCAAGTGGTTGGGGATTATTAGGAGGCCATGATTGACAAGGGCCAGGGGGGCAATTTGACCAGGACACCGGGGTTACACCCCTACTCTTTACGAGAAGTCCCATGGGATTTTTAATGACCACAGAGAGTCAGGACCTCGGTTTAACGTCTCATCCGAAAGACGGATGCTGTTGCTGCTGTTATTGTTGTTGTTGTCATTTTAATGTAAATCCCCCTCCCCCTGATATCCCCCCTGAATTACTGATTTTTTGGACTTCAGCCATCCAACTACACAGACTGTCAACACACTCTCAACAGGTAAATTATTTCTTTTTTAAAATGTCTATTATTTTCAACTTTTAAACTGTAACTGGTTTCCTACCAATCATGTATTTTTCTCTTTTTAGTTTAAGAGAACAGCTCTGTCCAGTTAAGGATACTTCTTTCTCCATCTCCACACAGTAAGTAACAAAGATATTGAATTTATGGTCCATATTGTTAAGATTTAAAAAAAAAAATTTTATTACTTGGGTTTATGCATAAAAATAACATTGTGAAGTGCTCACATACTACTTTTGGCCTTCATAAACAATTGTTTTTACATAAACAAATGGAAGGAGGCACATTGTAACTCTAAACTCAATTGTGCATTTCAGATGCTGTCACATCTTACAACCTCATCATCTGCAGAGAGAAACTGCCATTCAATCCCACCAAAATGTGACTCTTCTGCTTATGAAAACCCAGCTAAAGTCTTTGTGTGTGTGTGTGTGTGATTTACTGTTTTACATAAAATCATCCTTTATAATGTAAAGAACATTCTGTGAAAATGTAACCTTGATATTTTTAATATTGACTGATATGTTCAATGTCAATTGTCATTTATTAATGTATTCTGCTAATAACGGTTGTTAAAATCACTTGTCATGATTGCTACAATTTCACATGTCATTAAATAAAATAAAAATACCTAATTGACACAACATGCTGTTGTTGTTTTTATGAAAACCTTAATAGATATAAATATAAGATATTATAAGATCAGGCAGATAGAGTGGTAAAGAAACAATAGTAATAAATAAGTTATTCAAATAATATTAATAAAACT